TATATATATATATATATATATGGCATTTTAAACCCATCCCACACTTTTGCAATATTCTGAACAATGTTTTTAAACTCTAAACGCTCTAAGAGTACAGAATGTCATGATTGCAGCTCCCTGCAAGCACTTTTGGCCACACACACTTCTCCGCTCTGCACGGAGAACAGCTGATCAACTGCAAGAGGAGGCTTATTCTGCAGTATGGGCTGCACAAAGGTGCAGGAGGTGCTAAATAATTTAAAATAATTTATTTTAAATAAAAAATCCCATGTCGATTGTGCAGCTCATCCATCAATCAGCCAGTTGTGTGTCATGTCCACACTTACTTTGAAAAACCACGATAGAGGGAGTCCACAATAAACAAACCACGAACTAGCGAGGAACTACTGTATTTAGTTGATGGCAATCTGCAAAGTCACCACTAGATGTCAGTAAAACCAGAAAACAGTTTCATTAATCCCATGGTCCCCAACCCTGGTCCTTGAGGAACACCATCCTGCATTTTTCAGTTGTTTCCTGCTCCAACACACCCGATTCAGTGATTTACCATTATTACTTCCTCGAGTTCTGCAGAAGTCTGTTAATCACCCATCCATACAAGTCAGGTGGGTCTAAGCAGGAAAACAAGTAAAACATGCAGGACGGTGTTCCTCAAGGACCAGTGTTGGGACAACTGCATTAATCTTTCCACATTCTAACATATTGAGGATTTGGGTTCACAATTATTGAAAACTTCGATTAACTAAAGATGAGTCACAACTCATATTTATGTTTTTACAGAGTTTGATGACCGGGAAACACGGACCACAATTATTATATTTCTGGTTTGGGTGAAGGAAACCGTCATCGTAGAGAGAGGCTTAGTTACCACATATTAAGAGCCTGTTACATGTAAACTGGTAAACTACTGATAACGTGAGCTTTTTTCCATCTTTCTTGAACTATATACATGGAGATAAATTCACTGCTGAGAGAACCAGTACTTGGTGTTGATCTGATGTTGAAAATAAGTATCACGTGACAATGATTGAATCTACTCATTTGAAATATTATTAGTTATGAGGAGAATCTACATGAAGCTGTTATTTCATTAAGAAAACGCACTGGTGAAGATAATTCCAACTAAATGATCCAAGTTCTGTTGTTCAAGCTTGCAGTGGGTTTCACTGAAATTTTTTTTCTCTTGGTTCGTCACAAATTGTAGGGTTTCTTAAAAATAAATTTTATGTCTGTCAGGCCCTTTTGAAAAGCCAAAAGTGGCACAAAAATTCCCTATTAGGGTTTAAAAAAAACACCGGTCATTCTTCCCATTTCGTCTTTCTTTTGTTTGTCCATTGGGAGTTGTCTTCCAACATGGCAGCTAAATCGTGCCTAAACAAACAGACATCACAGTGGAGTGGTTTTAAAGTTTTTGTTCCTGTTTTTGAGCACGTTCCTCTCAGACTAAAGTGAGAATAATAGCGTCGTCTGTTCTTCCACTCTGCCTCAGAATCCGCAGCAAATTCCCACGTACTTCGCCTTCACCTCCATCGCCGGACTCACTGGTGTCGTCATCACCCTGGCGCTAATCCTCATCATCACCTCCTCCATGGAGGTCATCAGACGCAGCTACTTCGAGGTCTTCTGGTACACGCATCATCTGTTCGTCATCTTTTTTGCTGGCCTTGTCATTCATGGAATCGGGTAGGTGACGGCTCTGACCTGTTTCTGGTTTAGATGGAACACAGTGGTTGTTTTGGCGAGCAAGTTTGCGTTTGTGCATCTCGTCTACAGGGGCATTGTGAGGAGACAGAGCAATCTGTCGCAACACAATTTCACCTTTTGTCAAAATCTCACTGAAGAATGGGGGGAAATCCCCGAGTGTCCCTATCCTCAGTTTGTTGGAGGACCAGCCATGGTTTGTATTTTTCTGTTTTATTTTTTCAGCAACGAATACAAAAAAATGAATTTTATGGTCACATTTTTTAATTGGATCTTTTTTCAGACATGGTGGTGGGTTCTTGGCCCAATGATTATTTATGCTTGTGAGCGTTTGCTTCGTTTGATTCGATATGCTCAGAAAGTCCAGTACAGGAAGGTAAGATGTTCAGGCTTCACAGTATAGTGATCCTGTTTCTCTTTTTTTCTGTTCTTCCATACCTTTTATATGTAACTACTTCTGCATAATTTTAAACTATTCATATATGGAAACATTCAACTCAATTATGACATTTTGGATTTCACTTTTGGTTACTGTAACTTTTATACTTTTTAAAATATCTAACTTTGTTCACAAAAACAAAGTCCCAGTAGAAATTGAGATTTCTAATTCTTGTAACATGGTACTCTTTCAAATCTGTGTCAGAGTACTGGCTCTATTTTTGTCTTTGAATGCTACTTTTAGATTTTAGCTTGTATTTTACTACTTTTAACTTGCATTCTGCTTGTTTTAACTAGTATTTTACTACATTTAATTAGCATTTTTGCTACATTTGGCCTTTAGCTGCCATTCTTTTTTTTGCCATGCTTTTGCTTCTTCTAGCTATTTTCTACCTTTCTGCACTTTATAGCTTCTGTTTTGCTCCTTTTAGCTACTTTTTTGTTTTTTTGAGCATTGAGTTACTATTCTGCTCTTTTTAGCTTTTAGCCAGTTTTGTTCTTTTTAGCTTTTAGCTACTACTCTGTTCCTTGTCGTTTTTAGCTATTGTTTTGCTTCTTTTAAACTTTTAGCTACTGTTTTGCTCCTTATAGGTACTATGTTTTGCTCATTTTAGTTACTGTTTTGTTCTTTTTAGCTTTCAGCTAGTGTTTTGTTCTTTTTAGCTTTTAGCTACTGTTTTGTTCTTTTTAGCATTTAGTTACTATTCTGTTCCCTTTAGCTTTTGGCTACTGTTCTGCTCCTTATAGCTACTGTTCTGCTCCTTTTAGCTACTGTTCTGCTCCTTTTTAGCTACTTTGCTGCTCCTTTTTAGCTACTGTTCTGCTCCTTTTAACTTTTAACATATGTTCTGTTCTTTTTAGCTTATGTTCTCTTTATTTAACTTTAACAGCTCCGTTTCAGCTTAATCAGTAACTTTAAAGAAAGTTGTCGAGCACTCAGCGTTCAACACTGGATTTTTCATTAAATGCAGTTTCTCTAGTTTTCTTGTCTTCCTGCTCAGTTGTCTTTTAGCTGATCCTATTGTGACTGACCTGTTGTCAGATTGTGATGCGACCATCCAAAGTTCTAGAGCTGCAGCTGGTGAAAAAGGGCTTTAAAATGGATGTGGGTCAGTACGTCTTCCTCAACTGTCCGGCCATCTCTAAGCTGGAGTGGCACCCGTTCACCATGACCTCTGCACCCGAGGAGGATTTCTTCAGCGTCCACATCCGCTCAGCTGGAGACTGGACGGACAAACTCATTGAAATTATGCAGAAGCTACCGGAGGGAGCGCAAGGACCCAAGTAAGCTCTTTGATTTTTATTTACAAGTAGTAAATGTAGTATGCTGAATAGATTGAAGTGGGAAAACAGGATCAATACTACTCATAAACGCATTGTTATTCACAATTTAAAAAAAAATTACGATTGATTTAAAATCAGCAAATAATGGGCCTTATTTAAACAGGAAGTGGGCTAAAGATGGAGCCTTGTGGTGCACCATCAAAAACAATAACCTAAGATGCTGACAATCCAGATCAAATCCAATGAGGAAAATCAGACAAAATTTAATTTTCTTTGTTGGTGGATGTTTGCCTTCTGCAGTAACTGAATTAATGTCTTGTTTTGTCTGTTTTCAGAATGGGTGTCGATGGACCGTTTGGGACGGCCAGCGAGGACGTGTTTGACTATGAGGTCAGCATGCTGGTTGGTGCTGGCATCGGCGTCACTCCCTTCGCCTCCATCCTCAAGTCCATCTGGTACAAGTTCAAAGACAACAATCCCAAGTTGCACACCAGAAAGGTGACACTACTCACGTCGTATGCGCCTGTAAACCTGTTTCATCACTCAGGAAAATTTGAATATTGTGTGTCGGAGATGCCCATCAGATAATTGTTGTTTAAGAATACACTCAGAAAGGATGAGTCACCAGTAGCACCGCCAGCTCCTCTGAATGTTATTGTTAAACTTGCCTGCATCTGGTTTCAGATCTATTTCTATTGGCTCTGCCGGGAAACACACGCCTTCGAGTGGTTTGCTGACCTACTGCAGATGCAGGAGAAAGAGATGGAGGAGAGGGGCCTGGGGGACCTCCTCACCTACAAACTCTTCCTGACTGGATGGGATGAAAGTCATGTACGAGTGAATCCCGTCATCCAAAGTACAGATAAACCGAGAACTGATTACTTTGTAAACTGATCCCGTTTCCCTTTGCTCTTTAACTGTCAGACTAATCATGTGATGGTCCACTTCGACGAGGACACTGACGTGGTCACTGGACTCAAACAGAAAACTCACTACGGCCGACCCAACTGGGACAAGGAGTTTGATCAAGTCCGCAAAGAGAATCCTACGTAAGATTAACCTTTTTTTTCTTTTGAGTTATGGCATATTTACTGATTTATTATCTTACATGTGTATCTTAAAAATATATATAAAAGTTTCAAAACGTTATCTTCGTTGCCAAACAGCTTATTCTGCCTTAGATTCTTATTTGGTGTTGTTTATTGCACTGAGTGACGTCCAAGGAAACTAGACAAATTGACAATATGTTCATCAGCTTTTGTAGCATGTGGAAGAACCATACACAGCCACAACAGCTTGGCACCTCTTTCTGCTCACACCCTGCAGTGGGATGGTGCCCTATACTTCAACCAGCCTGCTAATGAGGCTGTGTATGGTTCTTCCACATGCTACAGAGGCTCCAGTTTGTTAAATATATCGTTTTTTCATGGGTGCAACCCACAATCTCATCTCCCCTGTACAACCAACAAATGTGGCATGATTTAAGAGGAAATAAAGTATTTCCAGTGATGTGGAAAATTTTGCTAAGAAGCATTGTTACAAGAAATAATCAAACTTTTACTTTTTGTCCTGTTTTTGTTGTTTTACACGATTATGGCTTTGACTGTTCTTCAGCTCCACGGTGGGAACCTTCCTGTGCGGACCTGCAGCTCTCGCAACGGTTCTGGAGAAGAAATGCGCCAAATATTCAGACGTGGATCCTCGCAAGACCAAGTTTTACTTCAACAAGGAAAACTTCTGAAGCAAATATATATATTTATATATGATCTGGAGAGGAGCGAAGCTGGAATCAAGAATATTTTGATTAACAGGAAATCAGTTGTGAAACTTCTCACCACAGAGGACAATTGATCATAAAAACTGTAGAACCCGCGCTACAGGACGGGCTAGTTCAAACTGCACGTACTCTGATGGAGCTTTACAGACACGACTCTGTAGACTCTTCGATGAATCATTGCGACTCAACATTGTTTTTTTTAATAATTTTAAGGTCTCTCTTGTAAATGAGTCCCCGAGGCTCAATGGGATTAACCTGTATAAGTAAAGATGGAATTACAGGCGCAGCTTTAACTATGACGAGCAAAAACTAAACAGACTGTTTATAGTGTATGTTGGTTTTTTTTTTACTGCATTTATTTCAGAATCATTAAAACTATTTACTTAAAAATTCTGAACCAGTTTTGTTCATCTTTTTGTGGGTTAAAGCTGTAAATATTAATACAGGAAATATTTGAAAGTACTCTGCTTTAAATGTCTGACTCAGTTATACGAACCGTCAGTTACTGGATGATGGTGTTTCCTGGAACCAGACAAAAGATTCTTGTTAAAAATTAACCTTCCTTTCCTTAATTCCAGGTACAGTCAGTCGTATTTCCTTACAAGAACCGATTTAAGCTCAATGAGGAAATGGAAAGTGTGTAACAAGTGGTTAAAGATTCCTCACAAGTGTGGAAGATGAGTTTGCATCACTTAAAGTTGTCTTTTCTTGTAGCCTGAACAGTTTTTAAATAAAAGAAAAAACAAACGTTTTTGTTGTTTTATTGACAAAAACACAACAGTTTGCTCAGAAGAATAACAAAAAGACTAAAGCATGCTCCTCTCACAAGATGCTCTTATTTGACTATTTTCTTACAAAGAACAGAAAGCACAATAATCCAGGTGAGGATGAGACGCCTCCAGGTGGAGCAGGAGTCCGACCAGACGTGTGACCTGATGATGGAAAGGCAGGAAAATCTTAAGTTGTTCAGTAACAGCAGAAAGCTTCATGATGCTGCCAGGAGAAGAAGGGACGCAGACGTCACCTCTGATCTCAGAGTTTCAGACTTAAGGAGCCCCGCTGGCAGTTTTCTGGATCTGCTCTTTGAGGATGAGGATGCTCTGCCGCTGCTCCGGGGGCAGCATGGCGATCTGTTCTGGGGTCAGCTGAAGGACCTGCATGATCAGGGCCGCCTAAAGAGAAACGAGAGGAAAAAGAAAAGATATAAAGCTAAAAGTTTTAACAGCTGTGGTTCGTAAATGTTTTCAGACGGACAAACGGTGAGACCCACCTTCTCCTGGTCCTGTGTGGAAACCTGACTCTGTCCTGGACTGAAACCTCCTCCTGATGGGGGGACCCCAGACATACCAGGACCCTGCTGGACCAACACAGACTTATCATTGGGAAGAATGGCCAAATGCCTTTAAAAAGCTGCTTATTTGAAAATAACAAATTCTGCTAATAATTCATCACTAGATTAATTGTGCACAGTTAAAGTCTTAAAGATAAATATGTAGAGCAAGCCAAAACAAGTGTTTTATAGCAGATAACTTCAGAAGAGTTAAAGGGTGTCGATGGAGCTGCAGCCCAGAACGTGCAAAATAAAATGTCTTCATCGTGATGTATGAACTCTAGAAGTGTAAAGAAAACCAGTTAAAGCTGTGGCCAGTGGCTCACTGGTCACCATGGTAACCACACACCTGTCTGTCACTCCTTGATAGCCAAGGAAAGAAGAGGCAGACTGAAAAGTAAGCCTTAAACAGCTGCTGTGCAACAACAAAAAGTAAACTGACAAAAGTTTGAACCCTGAGCAGCAGATTTTTTATCTTTATCATTTTATCTTTCTAGTGTTTCATATGTTTTATAAACTGACTTCACGTGTAGAGCTCCAAAGACGGCTGGATTTTCACCAAAAGCTCATTGATCTCCATGATTTTTTCTGGCAGTTTTTTTGGTAAATTCTTTCTGTATTGTACGACGTACTACTACTGATGTTCACAGCAGCCTGGACTCGATGGAGCGGCATGTTTTATTTGGATTAGCATGACTGATACAAAAAGAAGCCGTTACCGGTCTCGCAGGGGGAGGAACGTTTGGACCCATGCCGTGGGGAACGGGACCTTGCATCCCCGTTACCATGGGAACCCTCTGACCGGTTACTGGTCCGCGAGCATCCATCGCCCTCGGATCGCGGCCTGGACAAACGGATCACATGTCTCACTCACCAAAAACACATCCATGAGATTTTTAGTGACTGAGGTCCGTAACAAATCATCAGAACTTCTACCTCGAGCTTCCATCGGTGGTCCTCGAGGCTCAATCATGGGGGGTCCTCGTGGGTCCACCATCATGGTTCGTGGTTCACCCATAGGAGGTCCCCTCATTTCTGGTGGGGGTCCACTTATCATGGATGGTACGTGTACAGGTGGGGCTTGGTGAGGGGGGGGAGCTGCCATGTAAGCCCGGCTAAAGACAAACAAAACAAACAAACAAAAAATGTTTCAGGCTTAATGGCCGAATATATTGTGCAACTCTTTTTGTTGACCTTTCTAAAGCGTTTGACACTGTAGATCATGTCATCCTGATGAATCGACTCTACAAAAGTGGGTTATCTGTCCAGGCTGTTAACTGGTTCTCCAACTATTTATCTGATAGAACTCAATGTGTCCAAGCAGCTGGGTCTTGTTCCTCCGTCCTTCCTATTTTAAAGGGAGTGCCTCAAGGCTCCTTACTAGGTCCTTTGTTGTTCACAATTTATATAAACAATTTGTGCGGTAACTTGCCTGACGCTAAAGCTCATCTATATGCTGATGATACAGTTATTTATTGTTCATCATCTTCAGTTTCACAATCATTTAAACTGCTGCAATCTGCATTTGATACTGTTCAGTCCCGTTTGGCTGGGCTTAAGCTGGTTTTGAATGCAGAAAAATCAAAGGCTATGCTATTTTCAAATAGTAAGCAGCTTCCACCTATCCTCACTCTTGGAAAAGAGGTTTTTAAATCTCAATGAGTTATTTTCCTGGTTAAATAAAAGGATACAAACATACATACATATTTGGCAAAACATGTTTAAAATTAATTAATGATTAAAAAATAAAAATCTCAGAAAATACTCGCTTTTAAAGTTTCTTTCATTGCAGACGACATCCAGGACTTACTGCAGATTTTATTTTACTCAACATTAAATGACCAAACAGCACAACTTCTAGACACAATCATTGATTCAGTCCACTTATATTTTGTAATATCTGAATATAAATATATTTATGTATTTTTATGTGAAAAACTTCCTGTCAGCAGCATGAAACCAAAGATTGATCCTCTTTGCTCCACAAAAAGCTCCTCGTTGCATCCAAGCTGCCGAGTTCTGGCCTCTGGAGCGTTAAACAACACCCGCTGTTACCATGGCAACGGACCGCTGGTTTCCTTCAATCGTCCAGAACTTGGAACTTGAGGATTACAGCAGTCCTGACAGCTGCAGGTGGTACTTTTAACAGGTTAAACGATACAGGCGGACATCTTACTTGGGGTCGATGACCTCTCCGCTGGCGTTCAGCATAAGTCCTCCTCTGGGGTCGTTGGGGCCGTCTCCCAGAAGCCCTCTGTGGGGGATCCCGCCTGGTCCTGAGAGGACACGATCACACAATGAGCCTTTTGTAATCGTTTGAGGAGATACTGGGTCAAGTTTTAAATAAATCAATCCGATCCAAAAACAGAAACCAAACTGGAGTGTTACGGGTGTCATCTGGCACCAAAACATCTGGCCCACAGAGATGTCAGACTTCAATTTATCAATTTTAACAAGAGCAATAAAGTCATTTGTCTAAATGTTTCAGTTCGATGTGAACGTCTCTGCAGTGGTTCCCTTTAAAACGAGATTAATGTTGAAGAAATGTGACTGATTGTAGGATTTTAATAAAAGTCACAGAAAAAAACAATAGATAGGAGGCCTTGACTGCTGGTAGCAGGTTAGACTAACAAAAAAAATTAAACTTGAGATGTTTTGTAGCAACTAAATGAATATTGACAGTCTTTGTTGGGAAATAAACACTATTTTGAAGTTTTACTTACAGTAATCTACCAGGATTAATAAATATGGCAGTTAGTTTCCGTACCAGGACTCATCTCTAACCTTCAACAAGTCAAAGACCTTTGAGTCCATTTTTAAATACCGGTAAGCCGTGTGAGAAGTCTGCAGCGCGTGACTCAAACCCGTTAAATGTTCAGATCAACATCTGTTTTTCTGAACTAAAGCCTGCGTTTGATGTTGGGAGGTGAAGCAAGAACAAACACTCAGTCCCCACCTCCAAAAAATTGCTTAAAGCTCCCTGGTAGCAGCACCTTTGCTATGCTCCAAATACAGACGGACCGCGTCTTCCCTTAACTTTGGAGAAGTCCACAAATCAAAACACGACAAAATAATCCTCAATAAATGAAAATAATTTAATCAAGTTGACTGTTCTTCGTTAAAACCAAAGCTCTGCCCGCAACAGAGAAGTGAAGGTGAATGACAGTTTTTGTCCGTCTACTCATGTGTATGTTAGCAAAATATCTCATGAGCCAGAGGAAGAATCTTAATGAAACTCAAAAAAAAAAAAAAAAAAAAAAAAAAAAACAGCGAACGAACATCTACACGTGATCAGCTTTTAGAGCCGATCAAGTTAAAGATGGCCGACACAGCTGAAGAACCTTAGCAAACACGAAAATCTGTCAAGTTTGACAGATTTGGAGCTAAAATTTGGTGTGGTAGTAGCAGAGAGTCATCCGCAACAAACACTTAGCGTGGCACCTTACAATTAGATTAGATTAAGTTATATAAAAGGTCTGACCAAAATGTTTATAACTCTGTTTCAACACTCAAGTTCTAGAAGTTCTAGATTAATTTAACAAGTAGAAAGTGGCGGGTGATATGCATTCCTTCAAGAAGAGCCAGGTCTTTAATTTTACAGAAAATGGACATCAGACTTTAGCTGTTTATTTACTTATTTATTTAAATTTAGTTTAAGAAATGAGGTCAATTTGTCCTCCAGTAGTCTAAGCCTATGGCAGCATAACAAGCCAACCCTAACTCTAGGATTTATCAAAAAGGAACATCTTAATCCCAGTTTTAAAACTGGACAATGTGTCAGCCTCATGGACAGAAACTGGAAGTTGGTTCCACAAGAGAGGAGCCTGATAACTGGAAGATCTTCCTCCCATTCTGCTTTAGGAAACTCTAGCAACCGCAAGTAAGCCTGCAGTCTGAGAGCGAAGTGCTTTGTTAGGAAAATATGGGACAATAAGATCTGTAATATAAGACGGAGCTAGGTTGTTGAGGGCTTTGTAGGTTAGAAGTAAGATTTTGAATTAAACATTTCCAGACCGGCTGTTGCAGCAACAAAAGCACAATGTGGGCTTCTGGTTCCGTTTGTTACATCCAGCGTCCGCCCCGTGACACATAGACACCCCAGTTTTAATAAACACATCAGGGTGTGCTCAGGCTGAGCAATAGGAGAGGAAATCGAACACTGAGCTCAGAATCTGCGGTGCGTTTGAACAGAGCCGCCGCTGCACGGCGCTGCGAGCGGCGTGCAGGACTGAGGGAGGACAGTGATACCTGGAGGCCGCTCCATGGCAGCTGGACCGGCCGATCCTGTGGGAGAATGATGCAGGTTTCCTGAGCCAGCATTAAAGTGAAAAGAACAGGAGACACAGGTCTCAAAGGAGCAAAGCAGCATTTTGGAGCCAATGAAACCATCACATGCACAGAACAGGACGCACGGGGGATGCTTCACAACCGAAGAGTCAGAAACACGTCACAGAAACACGAACGTTGGGAAACGGAGGGAAACAAAGCGTCTTCCTGCAGCTGTCCTGCTTCAGAGTCTACGGAGTCGTTAGCAGAAGCTCTGGTGACACCTAGTGATCGTGGTGAGACGTGACCAAAAGCTTGAACGTAAAGTGGATTCAGGAAGTATTCTGACCCCTTTTGCACATTTCATCATTTAACTTTCCCAAATGAACATCTCGTGATGACATGATGCAGCCAATGGTTCTTTAATTTTATCTAATTTAACTTAATTGTCATGTAAACATTCTTCACTGGACTATATTTATTTTTCGGACTACTTTAGTTTTTTAGTTTTTATCTTGTTGATTGTAAAGAACAGAGGTCCTCGAGGGCCACTAACCTGCAGGTTTGAGATGTTTCTCTGCTCCAACACACCTGGTTCTTGCAGAGCGTGAACAGGTCATTCAACCACTGAATCAGGTGTGATGGAGCAAGTATCCATGCAGGACCTCGAGGACCAGGATGGGACATCTTTGGTCAAGAAAGTCATTTTTTTCAGTGGATGTTTCTTTCCCTCCACAGGAACCCTGACCGTTTGCTCATTAAGATCTTGATCATCTTCAGTTTGAGCAGACGGACAGCTCCAGGAGGAATCCTGGTGGCGCGGCACTCTTTAGGTTTTTTTAATTTCCAAGTCCATTCAAAACCCAAGAAACCAGTTCGGTGCAGTTTGTGTTTGTTGGACTACAAGGTTTGAGTTTTGAGTCCAGATAAATCAGATTTGTTAAATGCAGCTGATCTTTTGGACAGAGGTTGGTCCACACGGAGTTTTGTTGTATTTCCAGTCTTTCTGTATAGGTATCCATGGTAACGCTTTAGCAATTAGCAGCAACGCAACCGCAGCAGATTGTTTTTCCAGAAAATACCAGCAGATGATTTATTTCGGTCTGCAGATTGTCGTCCTCCGCGATTCTGTTCAGCGCTGCCGTCGCCACAAACCTGACATCACTGATGTGTCACAGAAAGCACCGAAAAATGAGTTTTAAGTTGTTGAACGCAACCGTGCGCTTCCACAGACCCGAATTTAATACCGAACAGAGTCTGATCGGAGGCCCATGAACACAGCCGAGGCGTCTAAACTTTGTCCAGTTCTTTAAACGCATCACAGGCAGGCCTGTCACGATAAACAATAAATCAATTAATCGTATGATTAAATGAAAATTATCGGCCTCATTTTCATTTATCGGCTTTACCGTTCATGTCTCTCTCTTTCTACTGAAGACACTGGATGACAAAGTGTTCTTCACTGACCCCTCCCTTTCTATTTTATTGTTAAAAATCTGTTAAACCATCCAAAAATCACGCTTTTGGATTGTTAAAAGCAGCCAAGCTGAGAAGCTAAGCTACGAGCTAAGCTAACAGGTCGACCTCGAGGGAAAAAAACTGTCTTATCGAAGCTCCAAAATTCACAGTTGAAACTCGTGTTTTTGTCTAAAAAGTTGTTTTTCTCTGTGAAAAGAAGCTGAGAACTTATTTACTGATTTTTATTAAAAGCTTTGTGTGACAAATGCTAAAGAGCTCAAACCACACTGAGCGGCCGCCATTTTGAGAACAAGGAGAGACAGTTCATGTCATGTCACATCAAGGAGCCTCCCTCCCATCTTTCTTAGAGAGACACGCTGCTCGCTCCTTCACTATCCATCCTTCGGTTAAAACAGTCTTATACTGCCATATAGTGGTCAGAAAAGGTACTACACTCAAAACAAATTAAACATTTCTTCTTAAATTTGACAATAATTACCTATTCTTGTCAAATTTCAAACAATATTATCGTTTATCGTAATAATTTCAGACAATGTCCAGTAAAATTTGTTACTGTGACGGGCCTAATCACAGGTTGACTTCTGCCATGTTTTGGATTCATCTCTAAAGAAACCACCAGGCCTGATTGATTATAAATAAAAACAGGATCAAATCACAACAAAACCCAGGATTTACTGACTTTAGAAACTCGGTGCATAATCCTTGGTACCGTCCCCTTAACATGTCCTTTAAAATAAACACTCAAAAGTACACCGTTTAAAATCTGCTCTTAACTAAACTGTGTTTTATGACTCAACTTTTTGTCACCTAAAAATAATTCTATTTATTATTATGGAATTGCCGTGGTCTCAGATTATTTTTGAAAGACATGTGGCTGTAGAGGTGTTGCCTAATTCTGAGTTTAATAAACAGATTGTGTGCTCTGATCGCTGGACCTTGTTTTAATCTGTACCGTTGTCAGTCTTGCCCAGGTCACTCTTAAAAAGGGAGATTTTTATTCTCAACGAGTTTTTTTCTTCTGGTTAATAAAGGTTAAATAAAAATATTAATAATTGCAAAGCCCTGGAATGTTTCGCATAATATGAAGTTTCAAAAGTAGATTATTTTGTTCCTCTGTTTAAAATAAGGAACCTGAACACTTTCTGAATCCACAGCATGAGAGATCAAATGTTTTGGGGCATAAATAAAAATAGTTTTTTTTTTTTTTTAAAGTGATTACTCACAAAGACTGTGCAGAAAGATGCAAATTAATAAAATTTTATTAAAAGTGTGGAGGAGAAAATATACTGATTTGGTGTTTTTTTATTTTATTGCTTTGTTCACCAGCATGTTTTCATATATTTAAGGTCATATTAATTCTGAATATGTAATTAATTATGAATTAAACATTTTGTTTTCAACTTGTGAATGTTTAAACTTCTACAGAAAACTTTATGAAAAGTTAGAAAGCAGAGCGGCAGCATGACGACTGAGCAACAACAAGCCAATGAAAGGTTCAGTAAAAACCTGCTCACCATCACACAGCTGCTGTTTGAGATGCACGCAGTGTAATGATTACCTGGAAGTCCACCCGGTCCAGGTGCAGGTCCTGGTCCAGGCCCTGGTCCTGGCCCGGGGACAACACCCATGTTGGGAGGCTGCATCATCTGAGGGGCTCCATTGATGTGCATTCCAGGCTGATTGGAACAAAAGAAAATACATTTTTTAACAATCTGAATATAACTTCACCTAAACATTGTGCGCTTCATTTGATGAAACGTTTCACTTGCAGCTACCAGAATTTTATTAGTTGGTCTTACTTGTAACATGGATGCACAAAGGTTATGCATTACGCAACACTACAGGTTTGTGTGATTCACTTATTTCAGCAATTTAGATTTATTTACTCCTGAAAACACTGAAGAGCGCTGAAGAAAAATCAGCAGCAGGTGATAATTTAAAATACCTACCTACTGAATTATCAACAAAACACCAAAGAATAACATCAACCGTAAAAAATCTTTTACATCTTATGAATAAATACTGTCCCGTTTGGTTCAGGAGCACTTGATTAAAGTTGTTTTCACACATGAACACTGGACGATGTTTGGAAGGTTAGGCGGAACATCTCCCTGCTCACACGGCAGGACGCAGAGTTTCCACAGACTTCTGAAATAAACTGCGAGGTCGGACAGGGTGTGAAAATCCAGCTTCAGACATCAGGTTTTGGTTTCCGCCGTGTCAGGGGTTCCTAATGCTGAAGAACTGGAAGACAACACGCGCAGCAGCCGACAGGAAAACACATTCTTCGAGCCAATTCTCTACAGAAAGACCGGCTTTCTCCGCACCGCAGGCAAACCTAAAATTTACCAAACTTGTTTTCAGTGAGAAAGTCTGGCATGTTCAGCAAAAACAGGTTCGCTCTCAGACACTACGTACAGATTAACTGTTTTAATCAGTGTTCAAATCTAAACTATTGTTGGATATTTTGTCTAATCGTGACTAAATAGACAGATTATGTCTAATATATGTAGTTTAGACCTGTTTGTTTGCACAGCTTTTACATTCTGCTACGGGATGAAGCTGCAATCCACGATTCAACACCTGACGCTCAGGTAAGAGAATAAAGGCTGAAATAAAAGGCCTAGCAGTCCTTGAAGGAAAGAACTTTACCCGACGCCACTCCTTTTAGCTCACGAGAAGCTGGTGCCTCTTTTCAGCGATCACTGTGTGAGAGGTGGGGGACACCCTGGACAGCTTGCAAGTCCATCGCAGGGACACAGAAACAAGCATTCACACTCTCACCCACTCCTACGGACAGCTGAGAGTTACCATTTAACGTAATCCCATGTTTTTTTGTCTGTGAGAGGAAATCGGAAAATCTGGAGGATACCCACGTGTGCACGAGATGTAAACTCCACACAGAAAGGCCGAGAGGCAATCCTGTAACCTTCTCTGAGAAGCGACAGCTGTAACCACAGCACTGCCCTAAATTTAGCTCAATATCTGTAAAACTCACGGAACTATTTTCATTTTTGTGTATGCTAAAATCAGGAAACTGTAGTGGACACAAGGAAGTGAGGAAAAACTTTATGGCCGTTTCACCTTCAGGCCACAAGGCCAGAGTGGTGATTCGTTTGTGCACTCACCAGAGGCTGCGGCTGGGGCACGGGGACACTGGGCTGAACGGTGGGAGGATTGACTGGTGGTGGTGCTGCTCCCCCCTGTGCACTGGGAACCAACGGCTGCACTGTAGTTTGACGGTGGAGCATTTTCTGCACAGCACAAAAAAAAAAAAAGAAAAAAAGTTATTTCTAAACTGAATATTTATTAAGCTCTTTATTTCTAATTATAAAAGTTTAAGTCAATTAAAAGTTTTTTATTTATTTATTTTTAATAAATCTCTTCATTCTCACCAAGGCAATCTCAGGGTCGACAATCCTCATGACCACCTGAGCCTGCAGCAGAGCGTAGGCCAGCTGGGGGTTCTGCAGCAGCATGTTCCTCGCCTCCTGGGGACTGTTTTGCACACACAGCTGGAGAGAGAAATCACCTTTTAAGTAAATAAAATCAAGAAAATGAAAACAAAACAAACCTGTTATCACAGATTCACACCCAAACACAAAAATTCTCCCTCGCTTAGTTTTCCCGCTGCATCAAAATCTAGTTTTAAAGTCCCAAACCCAACAAGGTAACATCTGCACAAAACAATAGACAAAAATGCACAAAAATATCTGTGGAATCAGGTCTGGACTGGACCCCAGGAGCACTCGGATCAGCATATGGACAGGTCCTGCCAACGTGAACTTTTGAAACAAAACACTTTCCCAGTTGGGGGGTAAATGTCTGCAGCGTGTTGTTTCTTTGAGTCTAATGAAGCAGACTGCCAGCTGTGCAAAGATAAGATGTGTCTGTCAGAGCTGAGGCAATATGCACAGCACTTGTAAGTCAAATAGGAGCATCTACATGCAGTTTTTAAAAAGGTACTGTATTTGGACTGGATTCTTTTTGTCTTCTGATGATCAAGTCTTTGTCCACAAATACAGATCCCATATTTTCCGCCATACACGTCGCACCACCTTATAATAAGTCGCATCAGTCCAAATATGTCTCATAAAGTGGAAAAATCCATAAATATGTTGCTTTGCCTTATCAATTTATAGGGACTTTAACAAGAATTGATCAAGATTAGCACATAAAAACAATTATTTGTTTGCTCAAAATTATAGCAAAGGTGTGTCTCAGTCTAACATTTACTTACTAAAGGCACTTTAATGGTCAAATTAGCTGCATTTCGCCGGGGCGGTGCAGCTGGTTTGACCGTTTCAAGCAGTGAGCAGAACGAAGGTGGGGGGATTACGGCAAGCCAATGGTGTCATTAATATCTGGTGAGGATTCTCAGTCATCCAGGACATGGTAAATTCAAAAAAGTTCAAGAAAAAAAAAGTATAAAGTAAAGTATAATAAATAAAGTCCAGTTGTTTTTGTATTGAACTTTTTTCAATTTGTCATTATAGCCACGTTTTCTTATTACATGATACAACGGCATGCCTTACTGCTACTACTACTTTGCGGCTTTCAAGTGGCTGAAAGTGGTAATGTTCTTTTTTTCCAGTCAGAATGAATGAAAATGGTCATATCTCAGCCAAAAATTGTTTATAAATATGGGAAAAAAATTCATAAATAAGTTGCTTCGGTGTAGAAGTCGCAGGAAATATAAATTATTAGGGATGCACGATATTATCTGCACGGTATCGGCCGATATTAGAGTTTAAATTTCAATATCAGACATTGGCCATTCCATTAAAATAACTCGCCAAAATAAAAGGTGTTGTTTTTGCCTGCAGCACAACGTGATGACGTCACGTGTGCCTACCCAATCTCAAGGCGAAGAGGAAAATTCAAAATGTTGGTGGTGCGGACGTTGAGGATGTCGGATTCCGAAGATTTATGGACTACGTTGAGCCTCGCTACATCGTCCCCAGTCGGAGATATTTTCCCAACGTAACGTTACCAGAGTTACAAGCCGTCATTTCCGACGTCATTGAGAAACTAATAGCCGATAGCATGACTTGTTGGGCGAGTTTGACCACAGACATTTGGACGTCGTGTTAGCCCCGTTAGCTTGATTAGTCTTACGGCACAATAGATAGACAAAAACTTTGAACTTAAAAAAGTCTGTCCTTCATGCACATGAGTGCAGAGGATCCCACACTGCAGCTATAGGAACCTGGAACAAGCCTCCACAAGTGAGACAGCATCGCATGTGACTAATGCTAATAAATAACATTTAACACTTTTCATTTAATATAAGTTAAAGTTCTATCAATATCATATGGCTGTTACTGAATATAAGTCACCAGCTCTTACACAATTTTTGTAGCAAATAAGACTAAATAAGAGGGCTATGTTCTGAAAAAAGAACGTATATAAAATATCAGTATCAGCATCGGTTATCAGCCAAAGAAGTTTTAACATTTCGGCATATCGGCCAAAAATCCGCTATCGTGCATCCCTATAAATTATGCAAAAAACTGCGACTTATAGGTTGAAAAATATAGTACTTTTAATAACACCATTACTGAATAAAACTTATCTTTGACGAGCAGCAGTCCTGGACATAAACTTTGTAACATTTTTCTGTGACCTAAAGCTGCAATCGCACAAATTATTTCTATGCATTTTAAGCCTAAAATTTAAATAAAGTACTAAACAAAGTGAGTGGTATCAAAAAGGCTGTTCTCTTAGGCAAATACAACCTTTAAATTCTAATAGTCTCTTTAAGCTGCATTTGTTTTCTACTGCTTTTACACTTCAAACCATAAAATACAGAAGTAAAGATAAAGTACCGTGCAGCATTTTCAAGTCACCTCACCTCACATTTTCTGATTATGTTTTGTCCAAGTTACCAGAATTTCTTTGCATTATTTTGTGATATATCTTAAGGAGGATCAAAGTTTTTCTTTGGACATGGGTTGCTTTTCCTTCCACTGTTTCAGTCAGGTTACTGTACTTGTCAGTTTTAAAGGATTTACTTCTACATGTCACTTAACACTGACGTATAAATAATTAAAAGTATTTTAAAAGAAATTAACTCAAAGTGAAAGTCATTGTATGTTCCCAACATTTACCCATCATCTGCATTAAACCCATCACTTGTGAGATACAAGTGTAGCAGCAAGCAGCTTTGCAAGTGCCCAGGGAACAGTTGGGGAATAACCAAAACAAGTGGGCATAGCGGGGAGCTGAACCTGTGACCTTCTGGTCCCAACTGTCCTACCACTGCACCAGTGATGCACCTGCACATAATAGAGAACTTAAGTGGGAACTTTTCAGTGCATCTTTGATTTTTTTATCTGGAAGAAAACTCCCAAAGCAACAGCTTGTTTTTGATATGATCAATCAATTTGAAACATCTATCAGAGAATTCTAGATGCTGACAGACATTTTATCTCCTCCTGCATTGTTTGGCTCATCTGCTGAAAAGTGCATTTTGTTTAAATGGTTCAAATGACAAAGACAATATACTCTAATTTGGTGACATTTTTGCTAGCACCTGTAGACTTACATATATTAACAGTGTAGAAAAACACTGATAATTGGAAAAAAAGAGAAAACATATATTACTTCTTCTTTTTTTTTTTTTTTTTTTTAAATCAGAGCGCAATTAGCTAGAAGTAGAAAAAAAAAGTGTGAAGTGGGCGGTGAGGACGTAATAAACCAACCTACCTTCATCTGCTTCATGAGTTCAAACATCTGCTCAGGAGGCAGACTGGCCACAGCTCTGCTGATGGACTCTGGAGCCTCTTCTGGTGCAACACCATCTCCATAAGGAGACTCAAAAATGGGGGCTCCTGTTCCCAAACCTGTGCAGAAGAGAATAAAAGTATTGCTTTGCCAAGTCGCCCAAATATAGTATTTAAAGATTAAAAAGACCTTACTTTTAAGTTCTTCCTTGTTTTTCTCACTAGCTGCATTGTCAACTCTGAGAGCTCGACCGCTGAACTCTCTTCCATTCAGGTTCCGCATGGCGCTAAGAGCCGTCTCCTGGTCTTGGTATTCACAGAAGCCATATCCCTTTGGCTTTCCCGTTTCCCTGTCATACACTAACCTGAAGACAAAGAAGAAGAAAAAAAACAGTCACAATCAAAGTTGAGTAAAATCAATGTTTTTATTAGAATACAAATGTAATAATTAAATAGAATGTAGCACAAAACTTGAGCTTGCTTTCTTTGAAAAGCCAAACAAAACCAGTTTCAAAATTAACCTACAGTTCCAAAAAAGTTCAATCTGGTCCTCTGGACATTCAAAAAAAAACAAAACAAAGCAAAAAAATATAGAAACGTTTCGTCTCTCATCCAATAGACTTCCTCAGTCTGAGGTGCTGTTTTCAGCTCAGTCTCTTAAATAGCACCTTCTCAGAGTGGATCAACCAGTTTTGCTGCTGACAACCAAAACCAGCTGATCACATGCTCAAGAAGGACCATCAGCCTAACAATGGATCATTAGCACACTGATGGCTGTATCACTAGTACTAGTATCGCTAGTATCACTCAGCCCTCTGTGAATAGTAAACAGCCATCAGTGTGCTAATGATCCATTGTTAGGCTGATGGTCCTTCTTGAGCATGTGATCAGCTGGTTTTGGTTGTCAGCAGCAAACTGGTTGATCCACTCTGAGAAGGTGCTATTTAAGAGACTGAGCTGAAAACAGCACCTCAGACTGAGGAAGTCTCTTGGATGAGAGACGAAACGTTTCTATATTTTTTTGCTTTGTTTTTTTTTTTGTTTGTTTGTTTTGTTTTGAATGTCCAGAGGACCAGATTGAACTTTTTTGGATTTTTCTACCTGGATTATTGAGCATGCATCAAGATAACCTACAGTTCATTCACTGCACTTACTTACCTGAAGCTGACAACAAGTCCGACTTCAGAAAATATGTCTTTCAGCTGCTCCTCTGTGGCTTCATACGGAATGTTTCCAACTGAAATATAAATTTAAAACAACAACAAAAACATGTTAATTGTTTAATTTAAAGGCTGTTACTGGTAGGAAAGCGTAAAAGTAGCGCGGCGAGTTAACGAACTTAGCACTTTGTTAGCTAGCTTTCATACATTAGCCGGTTATTTTCAAACTTATCACAAGCCTAGTGTGGAAAAAACATTATATATGCTGAAAAAGAGCAACAACTAACTTACCAAACACTGATCGTAATGATCTATCGACAGCTGGGTCTCTACTTGCGGCAGCTGCTGCTGCAGCCACTACAGAACTAGCAACATTCGCCATGTTGGGGACAGAAATTAACGTGACACCGGATATCAAACGGCAGCAACTTCCGTTTGAATAAAATTAATAAAATTAATTTAAATTCCAATAGCTCGATTATTTTCTAAATTCCCAACAAATTGTATATTGTTTTTAACTTCGCTTATAATTAAAAAGCAGCCAATAGTGTTTATGTAAGAGTGAAAAATGCTTTTTTTTAAATGAAGCTAAAAGAAAACAGGTGGCGCTGTTGCTACGGTAACCAGCGTTGCCGTTTCCTCCTGCGCTGCCGGAGATAGGAAGAATGTCGGGAAGTTTACAAAGCTGTAATTCACTTATGAAAAGGCAAACGACGTAAGAAGACTCCCGAAAGACGCGGCTTCTCTACCACACAAGATTCGGTCAGTCAATGTTTGCATTAAGTCATTTTAAAATTTGCTAATCAGTCATTTTAAAATTTGCTAATCAGTCTGCAAATGTTGCTAAGAACGTAGCCCCACAATGATGATGGAGCTATTAGTTAACTGCTAACACCTGTGGAGTCTCAAATGACAAAAAATGAGCACATTAGGTGGATATAATAAGGGTTTAAAAACTTGTTTTCTTCTTCTTGTGACCTTTTTTAATTGGAGAAGTCAGTGGGCCTGTGTTATTACACTCTTTACCTTTGAACCATGACTTTCTTTTGTAGAAATGGGGACAAATCAATGACTTTAGACTGCATTGGTGCCTAAAACTACATTTTGGTTGTGTATTGTGTGTGCACACAAAACTGGTTCATCCCTTGAGTTATGTGCTTGTCTTGTCCTTGAATAAATCACAAGATAGTGTTCAGAAGCTCAGCACAGAAACAGTTTAAAATAGGTGGCTTCACAGTTTTGCACATTACAGCATTCAAAGTACAGAATGGGTCTTAAGTTGGTGCTCCGAATCGTTTCGGGTGATTTCTTAGAGAATGCAGGTGAGGGAATATTGTGTAACCAAACGGCCAACAAATTTGTGACATGGGTGCAATGACACATTTATTATATCGGGGGAAATGTGAACGTTATAAACTAATAAATGCTAGTTTGAGCCATTTTTGTGCTTATTTCATTGTGAATACATCAAACAGCAACATATATATATTACGGGCCCAGTTTTAAATGTGGGATTAAACTAGGTGCATGTGATTTTGTAGGCATTTATCAAAACAAATAAAACAATATTGCAGCGTAGAAAGAATCTTTGATGGTGATGTTTTAAACAACCATCTTGTGCAATTTGTTAGTGCTCAGAATTTGTGTTGTGGATGAGTCTCAGCCACTACCACAACAAATTCTAGCTCAATATCTGTAAAACTGACTGAGTTATGTCCATTGTTGTGTTTATTTAGGCTCAAATAGCTGTAGCAGCCATCTTGAAAGAGGTAGGCACATTTTGCTAATGCACAGAGACAGGGGCAAAAACGTTATTGTCCTAATTTCACCTTTCGATGGTACGCAACGAAAAGATGTGTGTGTGTGTGTGTGTCAAGACTTCAAAACCCCACTTTAGATCACACTGAAAAAAGAAAAAAATCATGAATTTGTATTATAATTTATGCCTTTCTGTTTTACAACCATTTATATTATGAAGTCTCTAATTGGAATACTCATCTACTCCTTGGATAAAATTGCATGACATTTTATCAGTGGGTTTAATTTACATCAAAGAGTCATTTCTGAGCAGTTTATACCGAGAAGCTCAACAATTCCCTTTGAGCAGTCACTTGGCAACAGAGAAGATAAAAAATAAATAAATAAAATTCAGTTTTAACAGGTAGGAGCGTCTGGCCGAACCAGACTCAGGCAGGGCAGCCATCTGCTTCGACCGGGGACAGCAGGAGGACAAACGGAAGAACAGAGGTACAACTGCAAAAATGAGTTAATGTTGTTCAGACGAGTCCCAGAGTTTTAAGAAACAGGAAACTCAGGAGCCGGAGTAGATACTTCAGAAGAAAAAACACACACAAAAAGAAGAAATTATAATCTTTATCTAAACCAGTTGTTTTACTTTACTTAAATTATAAACACGATAATAAAAGTTCCTCATTAATTATAATTGTAATAAGTGAATAACAGACTACCAAAGATCAAACCTGTTTCCTTAAAGCCATTTATTACAGACTGGACCTACAGTCTAACAAGACAGATGTAGCTATTATTAAAACAAGAGGATTAAAGAAGCTTTTCTTTAATATCTGATCATACACATGTTATAGTTTTCTCCCCCTGCTAAAAGTACAAATGGCAATAATAAGCTGGCATAAAAGGTTCAACACAGACAATACTGAACATAAACCAGGAAACATGAACAGATCTTCCACAAATTTAGTCTTTAGGAGAATCTCATCCTTACATTTGTTTACCATGTGCTTAGTAATGATGATAAAGTCAAGCTGTACCTAAATAATCATATGAAAATATGAAATTAATAACCTTTTACTTTTAGAAATTTCTTTTAGTCCAGCCTGATGATTTATTGTTTTTGCCCTGTGATGGATTTGCGACCTGTCCAGGGTGTACCCACTACCCTGCCTATTGCACAGCGTACAGGGGACAGACTTTGTGGTCCAAGGGGTCAGGGGTCACCTTTACACGAGCTTCTGTGTGGCATTCGTAGCGAAATCTCAGTTTGTACATTTATTGGTGCTCAGCAAGCAGAACTCCTTTTCCCAAAAATAAGCTAAGGAACTGTGGATTAAGTAAAAAACAAGTGCCTGATACAATAACAAACAAGTTATTTGTAAATGGCTTATGTTGACTGCTGATGGGCACCAGTAACCTCCGTGACTCGAAAAGGAAGAAGCTGGTAAAAGATGGATGGATGGATGGATGGATGCATAGATGGATGGATGGGTGGATAATTATTTTCACCCATCCATTGCCTGTGTCTTCGTTTCCAAAAAATATATGAACCACTGACAAATAAAATTAAAAAAGAATCAGTGCCTTTGGAGTCAGTAATTCAAGATGGCCGCCACAAACAGCTGATCCTAAAAAACACAAACTAGCTAAAGGTCAGTCAGTTTTACTGATATTGAGCTAAAGTTAGGTGTGGTGGTAGCTGAGACTGATCCCCAACACACACAGGTAATGTAAACTTGTGCTAACCGACTGCACAAGATATTTTCTTAATATTTAGCCTTGGAGTCAACTCTGGCTGTTAGCAAAATTTCTCATGAACCACAGGATGAAGCTTTCAGGAAATGTCTCTCTACTTGAAGCCAGTTTCAAGATGGCTGCCACAGTACACTGACCATAGGAAACACAAAAATGCCTCAGCTTTACAGATGTGGAGCTAAAATTTGGCATGGTGGTAGCTGAGTGTTATCCACACACCGAGTCAGAGTGCTACTCGTTTGCGTTAAACTTTAGCAATAATCCTTGGAATCACTGAAAAGTGGGGGAGATGTTTCAAAAGTATTGCAAAGATGGATGTTTAAAGTCAGAGTGCTTGAACTGGTCCACATCCAGTTTAGCAAGTGGAGTGTCCCAGTGTTCGATATATTTATTTACGAATTATCAGGCATCGATGTGTTTAATGAAATAAACGGAAAACGTACGTCTGGTTCCACTGGGGCTCGAACCCAGGACCTTCTGCGTGTAAAGCAGACGTGATAACCGCTACACTATGGAACCCGCCGCTGTCCGGAAGCCGCCGGGTCTCAACATAGACCTGACAACAGGCACCCTTCTCTGGCCTGCGTCTGTCGGAGCTTCGCGGTGACCGCCAGGAGACAACAAAGCACCGGCAGGGGCCGACAATACGGTGTCGTTCCCGGTTCCGCTTTCTCCGTGTCGCCCTCCGCCTCGTCGCAGCGATCGGCGGGTCCTCCGGAGAGACCTCCCCGGGATGTGTCGACTCGGCGCCGCCGCTGTTCGCATTCAGGTGAGAGGCGCGTGCTGCTGGGGGTGTTAGCTTCTGTGACGGAGCGAACTCCATGAAGGAACTAGAAACAAACCAGCGTCGAGTTGGACGGACCGTCCCTCCAGAGCAGGTCCGGACTCAGACTGTCGTCTGGACCAAACTGATTTGACCGTTTAGCTGCACATGTCGAAACTTGTATTTTGATTAAAAACGACACTTTCTGCTGTATCTGACCTAATGTGAGAATATAAAGAGTCACATTTAAACTTTACGATCAAAGCTCAGACACAAAGGTCGCTCAGTAAAGTTGATAATAATCGGATTTTATAGAAAAAATAATTAATTTAGCCGTTTTTTTCCTACAGCTCTTTGCAACGATAGTGCAGACTGCTATACCAAAGTGTTGCAAGTGGAATATTTCACAGCAGATACACAACACAGCTGAAAGGTTTAACATTGCACATCCCTGTGTGCTGCATTTAAAGACACCACAGAAAGAGTCAGTTTCTTTATTTGTCATTCCGCACCACATGTGGTACATGTGGTGCAATGAAATTGTGCACACAGGGTCCCAGTTACATCCAACAAAGGTATAAAATGTAAAAGAAAAACAGTAATAAGATCTAAGATATGAACTAAGAAAAACATTCACTAAAAGTGCACTGAGCACTAGTAGTACAAAACACAATATGCCGAACAGCAGCAGCACGAACATGAGTCTGTGTGAGCACATGAGCACGCATGAACACAGCAACATGAAACAGATCAGCAGCAACATGAAACAGATCAGCAACAACATGAAACAGATCAGCAGCAACATGAAACAGATCAGCAGCAACATGATGTGATTTTTTTCAGTGATAATCCTGGTTAGAGCTTCATAAATCTAACAGCCTCAGGGTAGAAGCTGTTCCGCAGTCTAGTCATTCTACACTTAATGCTCATCAACCTCCTGCCTGATGGGAGCAGGGCAAAAAGTGTGTGCTGGGTGAGTGGGGTCCTTCATGATGCAGGTGGCCGTCTTCTTGCATCTGGAGGTGTAGATGTCTGTAATGGTGGGGAGACTGACTCCAACAGACTTCTGTGCAGCCTTCACCACTCTCTGCAAGGCTTTTCTTTCTGCAGCTGTGCAGCCTCCATGCCACACGTTG